CCATGCTATTTCAGTTCAGAATCAGATTATACTCGTTCAAGTTGTATATTTTGATCCCGAAAAAAAAAAAAGTTTGCAACGCCCAACTATCAATGTCGCTGCTGCTTCTTCTGCTCCATCGCCAATGCCTCGGCAGACTCAGAAGAACTCATTTTCCACCATTTTCATCCTCTGCCTCAATTAAGGTTAGTGGGTCATGCCCGTTCCTCCAGTTCCATGCTCTTTGTTCCAATGATTTCATCAAAGACCCAGCTACACTTCATTTCAGTTTTCTGAATCAGTGGGTCAAAACTTGATATCAACCCTCGAATTGATCCCAGAACTTCAATTTCTGAAAATCCAGTTCTATATGTGGTACAGTAGTAAAGTATGAACAAATTCCCATTTCGTCAATTTTCTAGTTTGCCCAATTCAATTGCAAAAGAACCCACCTTTACAAACCCCACAACTTGTGGGAAATTTGGAAAATGGAATTGGAATCCACTTCCTATACCCCACAGAACAATTCCCGAACCCAAAGGGCAGGACCTTGATTTTGTGAATGTTGCAAACAGCCATCTAATTCACTCTGACTGGGCTAAGCTCAATTCCTTGTCCAATGGTCTAACTGCTTTCAGAGTGAAACATGTACTGCTAAAGATTAAGCAGGACTATGTTCTTTCCCTTGAGTTTTTCAATTGGGTTGCAGCTCAAAACCCCACTTCACTTACCCTTGAAACACACTCCATGATTCTCCACATTCTCACCAAATACAGGAAGTTCAAGTCTGCAGAGTCTATTTTGAGAAAGGTTCTTGTCTCGGGTTCGATAGATTTGCCTTCCAAGTTGTTTGAAGCAATATTGTATTCGTACCGCTTGTGTGATTCTTCTCCTCGTGTTTTCGATTCTCTTTTCAAGACTTTTGCGCATATGAAGAAATTTAGGAATACCACAAATACATTTTGTCAGATGAAGGATTATGGATTCTTCCCAACAGTTGAGTCCTGCAATGCATATCTGAGCTCATTGCTTGATTTACATAGAGCTGATATTGCTTTGGTATTCTATAGAGAAATGCAGCGTTGTAGGATTTCACCGAATGTTTATACTCTTAACATGGTTATATCTGCTTATTGTAAATTGGGAAAATTAGAGAACGCTGTTGAGGTCCTTGAGAAGATGGGCAGCATGGGTTTTAGTCCTACAGTTGTATCATATAACACGCTGATTGCAGGACACTGTGATAAGGGTCTTTTGAGTTCGGCTTTGAAGTTCAAAAACTTGATGGCGAAGAATGGATTGCACCCGAGTGTGGTTACTTTTAACTCACTTGTTGATGGGTTTTGCAAAGAAGGAAAACTAAAGGAAGCAAACAGAATTTTTAGTGAGATGAAAGCCGTGAATGTTGCTCCTGATACCATAACTTACAGTACTCTGATAAAAGGGTACAGCCAAGAAGGTAATAGCGAGATGGGCAATAGGCTTTTTGAGGAGATGTCAAGGAATCAAGTAAATGCTAATATCTTGACTTATAATGCATTGATATTGGGATTCTGCAAGGAGGGCAAAACAAAGAAAGCTGCATATCTTGTTAAAGAACTTGATGGAAAGCGCTTTGTCCCAAATGCCTCAACCTTTTCTGCCCTTATTGAGGGGCAGTGTGTGAGAAAGAACTCGGACCATGCCTTCAAGCTATGTAAAAGCATGATAAGGAATGGTTATCAACCCGATGAGCATACTTTTAAAATGCTGATATCTAGCTTCTGCAATAACAGGGATTTTGATGGAGCAGTTGAAGTCTTGAAAGAAATGCTTGAGAGATCTGTTGCTCTTGATTCAAGCATCTTATCTGATTTATGTCTAGGACTATGCAGATGCGGGAACGAGAAAATGGTAAAATTGTTATGCAGTGAGATGGAAGCTAGACGCCTCATCCCTCAAGGTTTTGACATGGCAAAAATTATCTCCCCTGTAGTAGTGGAAGAAAACTGAACATTCGGAAATAACATGTAAAGTTGTACATTGTTTTCCTTGTGCCTTTCAAAGAGAAGGTTCTACGGTGTTTTGGATGCGGATTATTACTTGAGTTGTAAGAGGCCTTTGTTATTTGGTTTAATTTAACTCCTTTTCTCTTGAGCCATGCACTTGAACTTGTTCCAGATAAGTTCATGTAAACAATTCTCTCTCTTTGTTTTAAACAAGCCTTAAACATGGTTCCATACGAGACATAACCGTGGTAGATTGTAAGTTTAATTGAAGAATTAATTGGTGCATCAATGAAAAATAATATCTGCAATAGAGACCTGTACTGCAAAAGCTTCCATACTAATGCTGATGCTAATTTTGGTTAAAAGGTGCCAAATATGCAAACAACAAATCAAACGTTCTCATCAGCTTTAATGTAAAGTTATCAGCATTACAATTTTCATATACCTAGGACCTGCTCAAAACCCACCTACTTGAATATATCAGAGGTTATAATTATGTCACGACTCCTCTTCACCAGCTTCAGCAGCAGCTATATGAGAATCCAAAGTGTTTATCAGCTGCTCACTTACTGTTTTTGCCACAGATATCATGTCAAGAATGATGCTTGGATCTAGGCCGGCACCACCCCGTTTGGTCAACCCACAAATGTGGCCTTGCCTATTGATGGAAATAGAAACAGCCGAGCTCATTTGTGATTCCTCTTCTGATGTGGCATCTACAATATAGTGCCGACCTACCTGAGAAACAGATGGGCAGCAATCAATACAAGACAATAAACATTTGCAGTATGCTGGAGAACAGAAGAGATGGTTAACTCATGTCACCTTTGTTAATGTAACTATGACAGGGACCCTAGATGTGTCAAATTGCAGAAATTCCTCATCGCTTACGTCAACCTCTGGTTGCTCATCGCCTGATGCACCGGCTGCAACATTTACTTTTGGGATGCCTGTATTACTCAAAGCAGCCTTTGGGAACATCAGTTTCTTTAAAAGATAAGTAATTTCTTTGGAAACTTAATACTAAATTTTATAACAGCCAGAAATATCTTCTGTTGTCCTTACTTAATTTACAGAACATAAATAAACTGAGCACATCAAAACAGATAAGAAATATCAAGTACCTTTATAGCAGCACCTAAGGCATCTAGCAGATTCCCATCTGAACTAACAACAAGGCCGTCAATGTAAAGATCCCAACAGATCTTTCCTTCCACAACTACCAGAGAGGAGAGATCAATTCCAGCACCTGGAACAGACAAAGACACCTATATTATCAACTTTGCAGTTATAAGGAACTGCCTGTACAAACAAGAAATATGTATTGCCAAAAGAGATCATACATAAATGGTACAACAAATTTACTATGCTTATCTCACTCTTCAATGAGAATACAGACCAGATCCACTTTTACCACCCAAGAGACAACATTGAAGAGCAACTGAGAGTTCTGCTGACAGCTCCTCACCCCCTCTACCCTGTAGAAATGCAACAAAACAACAGCTTTACAAGAAGCATAAACACATAGGTTCCTACTATCCATTGCAACATACACCAACAGGAAAAGTTTAGATTGCCTAATAGGATTACAAATAGACAACAAAAGCGCCCTCGTATTTTATCAGAGCATGAATTCAACTAAATCAATAATTGTACTTCGTAGAGGATCTTGCAGAAACCAAGATGTAAGCCTCAATTGACAAAGTAAAAAATGAGAAGGAAGCGGATAATAAAAGTGTTAACCTCAAACATTGGTGCTGCAGTGGGACTGCAATCAACATTTACAACGACCTTTCCTTTGTCAGGTTGCAACGCATTCGGCCTTCCAAGTTCAGCCTGAACTCATTCAAATTTACCAGAAAATATGATATTAAGAACAGCAGGGGCTATTTAAATAATTAGACAGACAAACAACGTAAATTTAGTCATAACAATCTAAAAGCACTAGTACGAGCTTCAGGCCAAGACTAAATGATACCTTCACACTGGCCATGACATCTGTGGCACCCATCCTGACCCTTGCCGAACCATTTGCCTGCATGGACGCCGTCAAGAATGGGGATTATAACAAAGTAAGTAAAATTTTCACGTCGCACAGGAAAATCTATAATTCAAAAAAAAGAAAACTTTCTTTCAAAAGAAACACATGACATAATATTAACCTGGGAAATGACTCCAGTTTCAACATAGATGGGTCGAGTCGTCAATCTTTTTCGGCCATCAGAACGAAGATCCTGAGCAATGCCACCCTGTATAAAATGCTTTTCTCCTATGGATAGTCCCACCATTTCTGAACATGTGATATGAAAAATGATTTATGATACAATTAACTTCATAGAAATCAAGATGCAACAGAAACAAAACGAAAAACGAAAAAAAAGAAAAGAGATATAGCAGAAAACCATTACGATTAAAAACAAAAGGCAGTCATCCTGAATGACTCATATGTCAAAGAGAAATTCTACATTCTACAGTGTGCTAAATGAAGGTGAACAAACAATTAGGTCTAAGTAAAGGCAGTCACTTTGAATGCTCAAATATCAATAAATAGCCAAAAGAACTGTCTGACCAGATGGGTTCAACCAAGCAACCAACTAGCTATCACTTCACAAACACAATTATCTAAAACTTTTGCGCCCTACCAATTCCATCTATGCAAAACTTTGCCAACTTTCCAATGAACACTAACAAGCAAAGAGGAATAATTACCGGGCAGAGACGATGCTCACGAAGCCCTAAAGAGTGAGAGAAGGCTGTGGCGGCGGCGGCGTTGCTGAGGCTGAGAGGGATGTGGAGGGAAAGGCTGTTAGGGACTTAGGGTTAGTGATTTCCAAAATCAAATTACGGCAATTTGACACCTGCAATGCAAGTGACTTAGCGGGAACGAGCGCCTTCACGGCTCGTTCTTCCTCAAAATAACGAGTTTTTAATCGTACGGAACCTACACCCTGTTTTATTCCGTGGAAAGCACTCCCTAAGTGACACGTGTACCGCACTCTATCCATCGGAAGAAACACGTTCTACGTATTCCTTTTATGAACCGTCGGATGAAAACCCAATTACGTGGCGCACGTACATCGTGGAGAGGAAATGAAACCCGCACCGCACCCAATTCAACCACCACATCATCAACTGGCCCAAACCGAAAATTCCCAATCTTCACCTGGTAAAATTAGGGTTTCTCATTTGCCTCGTCTCTTCGTGAAATTCAATCGATGGGTCGGTCCCGAGCAGCTTCGCATCCCGCTGCAGACAATCACAACCAGAGGTTAGTAAATTTTTCTATCACTTCGGTTCAAATTTTCAAGCTTTATCAGACAATAATTAAGTCGTTAAAATTTCTCAATTTCGGTCACAAAAAATTGTTATTTCCTTTTGGGTAATTTTCAGTAGGGGCAAAAGAAAGAGAACAGCTTCAGGTGCAGAGCCAGCAGAGAACAGTAGCACAGCTCAGAAAGCTGTAGCCCAAGAAACTAGCGAACCCAAAGGGGCTTTCTACCACTGCAATTATTGCAACAAAGATATATCTGGGAAAACTCGCATAAAGTGTGTGGTATGCCCAGATTTTGACCTTTGCATTGAGTGCTTCTCCGTTGGAGCTGAACTTACACCTCACAAATGCAATCATCCATACAGGGTTATGGTGAGTACCTTTGTATTTATATCAAAAGTTACTGTTTTGATATGTATCTGCTCTGTGAATGTTAAACGTTTCTAGTGAAGTGATCGTAGACTAATAGAAATTGTTGCAGGGATGGTTGCTTGAAGAAATTTTTATTTTTATTTTAGCTTTAAGATATTCTGTTAATATCCAGAACAGAATTTAGAATTTGGAAATGGACAGTGGCAAGATTAGGATGACCTTTGAGTAAAATGCATTAAAAGGCAAAATTACCCGAAGTGAAGCTCTAAATACTGCATGCAGATAAGAATGTTTTCCTTGCAAGCACTGGCTGACCTAGAATTTTTTTAGCAGAGTTGCAATATTGACTAAGTATGAAAAATGGTTTTTCGGAATAATCATTTTCTCAAGATAATTTTTGGCGGCTTTTATTCCTTACACAGCAAATAAGAAAACTTGATTTTATGGGATTTTAGTTTGAAATATATATTGACTTAATGAGCCATCATTTTTAGCCTAAATCGTATTTTGCACTAAAACCGATTTTTCATATTTTGATTTGGTGGGAATTTGATTTTCTAGTATTTTTATTTGAATCCAAATGGGGGTTACGTCCTTATTTACATTGTAAACTTAAGTAAATGGAGTAAAATAAAAATAAATTAAAGTAAAAGGACAAAGACATTTACTTAAATGTTGAAAATGAAAATAAGGTAATCTATACACCAGTTGAGTATAGGGGCAATTTCAAGCACCTACAATGGTTTTTCCGGCGAGGAGAGGTGCAGCTGCACCTCCTTGCGCCTTAATAGCTCCGCCACTGCTTGCAAGCAACAGAATCCATTTGAATTCACCTCCAATCTGTGTCTAAACAGCTATGAGTAATTATTTTTATTTGTTTAGAGAGTATTTTTACGAGCTTGTTCATTCATTTAATTATATATGAGATTTTCCTCCTAAAGTAAATTTTTGTTCTGCTTCCGATATGAAATCACATCGGAGATTATGAGATGCTTTTGAATATGACATGGACTATTAAACGTGCATGTATTATTTGAGGAATTTTGTTTTTTAAAACAGGACAATTTGTCTTTTCCACTTTTATGTCCAGACTGGAATGCAGATGAAGAGATGCTATTGCTTGAGGTATTAAATTTGCTGATTTCTTTTTATAATGCTTCTGATCAATCTGTGTCTTTTTCTTTTTGTCAAACTGATAAACCTGTGTCTAATATCTCTTGTTCTTTGACCATACTTTTTAGGGTATTGAAATGTATGGATTTGGGAACTGGACCGAAGTTTCTGAACATGTTGGAACAAAAAGCAGACAACATTGTATTGACCATTTTAAAGCTATATATATGAACTCTCCGCGCTTTCCTCTACCAGTAAGACCAGTTTTCTTATTAATGTATCCACACACACGTGACATACACACATAAACATCATATAGAAAAAACCCAAATTTTCTCTAATAGTTTTCATAATATCCACCTAGGACATGTCTCATGTTATGGGAAAGAGCAGAGAGGAGCTTCTTGCCTTGGCTAAGGGCTCGGGTGAAATCAAGAAAGGTTAGTTTGCAATGATTGTATTATTAGATGAGCATGAAAAGCAACTTTGTTTATGGTGATCTTGCATTGCAAGCAACTATATCCTTTGTCGTATCACTTATGATTTATGATGCCCCAACAGTTTAGATCAAACCATTCAGTAGGTGTGATGATACTTACTCAATGTTCGTAGATTGCTCTGTGTATCTGTTTTTCATAGAGACTGATAATCCTTTAAATGAGGCAGTTCATTTTTCTTCTTTGAAGTCACTTGTGATGATGCTCTCTTTCATACTGTCATTATAGGCATATACTTTATTTTCATTTTGTGGATTTAAAATGTCCATCTCAATCTGTTCCATTTTTTTTTATTTGTAGAAGTTCCCATGCTTGTGGAGATTACGTTGAAAGAGGTGTCCCCCTTTTCCACAGGAGTCAAGTATGGCTATTTTATTATGTATTGTATCTACTATTGGTTCAAGTTCTTGTTGCACATTTTCTCTATTTAATTGTCTCTCTTTCTATTTTGCGCTTGATCAGGTGTGAAGAATCAAAAAAGAATCCAGCTTGTCAATCTTCATCCCACTCAACTGCTGGTATAACAATCAACCCTGTTGAGGCTTTTTGGTTCTTGAGCAATCTCATTTATCATGTGTTTTTGTTTATGCATGACTGGAGAGACCTAATTTTGTGTTTTGCATTAGATGATGCCTCGGGTCTGGTCCTAGGTGCTGTGAAGAAGGCATCCAACAAAGCGCAGATTAAGGATGAGACTAAAGTCTGTAAAGTGGAAGGTATGCTGGATTATATCTTACGTTACTATTATTGCATAGGTAATGCATCAAAAAAATTTAATGTCATGTATTGGTTTAAAGAGATATTCGTTTCTATGTTACATTGTCAACAGAATCTCAAGTTGATCGGAGCGTCGGAGGGAAAAAACTAAGGAGTTTAGGGGACGAGGGACCTTCTATAACAGAATTTAGTGGCTATAATTTCAAGAGACAAGAGTTTGAAATTGAATATGATAACGATGCTGAGCAGATACTGGCAGATATGGAATTTAAAGATTCTGACACTAATGCTGACCGGGAATTGAAACTACGAGTTCTACACGTCTACTCAAAGAGGTACTTATAAGGTTACTTTGGTAGATTCAAGGTCGATGGATACATTTTCTAATTCACAAAAGTTTTTGAAACGGAAGAGGTTAAAGTATACCAAGATAAAGTGATTATTTTCGTTAAGTTCAAAGGAATTTCCTTAACCTATTCCTTCACTCGTCATGCATACTTTCATATAAGTAATATCCTCACTATAAAAATGAGTTAGACTTGCTGTCCAATTTTCCCTTTTTCCCCTTGATATACTCTAATAATATGTGGGAATTTGGGCAGGCTTGATGAGAGGAAACGTAGGAAGGATTTCATACTTGAAAGAAATCTGCTGTACCCTGACTCTTTTGAGAGGAACCTCTCACCTGAAGAGAGAGAAATATATCACCGCTTCAAGGTTTTCATGCGGTTCCACTCAAATGAAGAGCACAAGGAATTGCTGAAGAGTATCATTGAGGAACAACAGATTGTCAAAAGAATACTAGATCTTCAGGTCTGATGCATGTGCCTCACACTTGTATTTCTGTTACCTCATTTCCCTCTATATATACTATGACTGTTGGTTGATTTAGTTCGGTAAGCAATGGTATCACATGAATTTACATCGTTCTAAGTGAAAGGCCCCATGGCTTCCCACAGTTAACATGACTTATGCGGCTCAAATTAATAAGCATCATATTGTATGGCTTCTGCTTACGTTCTTTGCATTCATTATGCAGGAGGCTAGAACAGCTGGCTGTAGGACAGCTGCTGAAGCAAGCAGATACCTTGAGGAGAAGAGGACAAAGGAAACTGAAGAAAGTTCCCTAAGGATCAAAGAAAGCTCTCAGGCTGGTAAAGGCTTGCAGATCAGTCCTCGGGGAGCTTTTAAAGGTCCGCATCCTGTTAGCAAGGACTCATTTTTAACTACGCAAGCCATTTCCAGCTCCTTGGACTATTGGGACATCACTGGCCTAGTCGGGGCCGATTTACTCTCCGAAACCGTAAGAAAGCCAATCTCAGAGCCTAATGCTTTAGCGTAGAAAGTGAATTCTATTTGTTGAAATGTTTCTATAATACATGCAGGAACAAAGACTTTGCAGTGAGATGAGAATCCTGCCTTCACATTATCTAAACATGCTGCAGATCATCTCCACAGAGATTGAGAATGGCAATGTTAAGAAGAAATCTGATGCCCATAGTCTGTTCAAGGTTGAACCATCCAAAGTTGATAGGGTTTACGATATGCTTGTGAAAAAGGGAATGGCTCAAGAATAGTTATGTACAGTTGTGTTTGTTACTTAAAGGCAAAGAATCCCATTTTGTTCAATTATCTTGGCAAGAAGCCCAGGCTGTTTTAATAACCAAAGATTAATAAAACACCCATTTATACAACACTCATAAACAAAAATTATAAATTTCATGCAGAAAAGATCATTATAATCAAAATGAACCTGTGGACGAAGAATACATGTCTAGACTGGTAAAGGCAAATGGTAAATACCAAATTATAATTACCCATCATTTATACGTATGAAGTAAACTCGAATGTTTTTGTACTTAAAATGTACTTACCCCTGAAAAATGGTGGTTGGTAATGAAAAAATAACAAAAGGGAAGCATTGCAAATATTCACTGTAGATTTTCATTGCCCCTCTACTACCAAAGAAAAAATGTTTTTTGGTATTTTCTCATAGAATAGAACCCAATTCAGTACAAGTCAATAACATGATTTTAATAAAAAGTACAATAGAAAGCAACTAGTCAGAAAGAGGACCAGAACCTGAACAAACTAGACTTGGAAAATTAAAACATGTCCAAATAATTCAAAAAGCTCACTTTTAATAGTTGTGTAGGGTCAGGTCAACTCTCTCTCTCTTTCTCTCTCTCTCTCTCTCTCATAGATGATATCTGAACAATCTGATGATATCACCACCCAAATCATAAGTACACTTCTTATGTCAGTTTCCTCCATAACATTAATCTGACCACCACAATTTCCATTTTGCTTTCCTCTTCTGCTTCTTTGTTTTGTCAGTGTCACCATCTCCCAATAGCCAATACCTACCCCCTCTCTCCCTCCCTACTCTACACCCAGTTAATTAATTCATTAACTAACTAAATCCCCCTAATTAACTTAATTAATCTGCAGCCCCAAAGTCCCATAGGTGCAGTGTCGTATCACTCGAGCACGCTGCGACATGTCGTTCGTCGCACACCATCGCATTGACGTCTCCGATCCTCTCCCTGAACCTGTACAGATATGCGCCCCTCTCCACCTCCCACACACTCACCACGCCATCTGTGCACATTAGCGCGTACCCGTCGTTCATGCACCCCATCGCCCCCATCTCCGCCGCCCCCCTCACGTTAAACCTGCACCCCTCCTCCATCGTGTCCACCAGACGCACCCTAGCCAACCTAGCCAACCTAGCCAACCCCCTCCTCCTCTCCGCGATAACGTACGCCGCGCTGCTGACGTCAACCGAGGTCACAATTATCTCCCTCCCGTTCCGGTACTCTTCCTCACCCAACACGAGCCCCTGGTTCGTCAGGTCGAAGATCATCACGCTCGAGCTCGTGCACGCCACGGCCGATCCGCGACTCGTGACTCGGACTCGGCCCACGAACCCGGTCATCTCGGTCAGCATGTGCCACCCCATCACTGCCTCCGGATCGGTCAATGCACCGCCCACGAAAGTCAACTGCTCCGTCACGCCGTCCCATATGTGGAAGGCCCGACCCGGTACGCCCGCGTAGAGCCCGACCCACCACCTCTCGCAGCCCGTGAAGTCTACCAGGGCTCCGTCGTTGACCACCTCGCCCAGGTGGACCCGGCGCGTGATATGGGGGATCCCGATGATCGCCACGTGGATGTCTCCGTCCAGCGTGGCGAAGATGAGTTTGCAGTCGGTTATGACGATGCCGGTAACGGCGCGGGAGAATGGGCCGAGGCGGTCGCGGAGGTGGGGCCGGAAAGTGTTGACGTGGAGGCGGGTGTGGAGGTCGAAGACGCGGACAGCGCCGTCGGCGAAGCCGCAGGCGAGGTGGGCGTCGGAGAGCGTGAGGCAGCGGCAGGTGAAGCCGTTGGAATCTTCCACGTCGGAGGGGTCGAAGTAGAGTGTTGTGTGGACCGATCTACGGGTCTGGAAGTTCCTAGCCGTCCGATGCCAGTAGATGTACTCGTCGCGCCACGTGTCCTGGAGTAGGCGGGTCCTACCCCAAACAAGGCGCGTGAGTCGATGCCAGAGGAGGTCTGAGCGGGAGACGGCGCGCCATGTTGAACAAATCTGCCAACCCAAAGAAAAAAGAGTGCCACGTAGGCAGGCGAAATTAGTACATGGGGTACAGCTCATTTCATGCATGCACGTTGCCTTGTATAAAAAGAATTAAATATATATTTATTTAAATGAAGTGGAGAAAGATGGGCACGGTTGCATGTGTAGGTAAGGGTTATATGGGTATTTAATGTTAGTGTCAGATATTGGACGCATCTGTTTTTTAACCGGTTAAAGGGAGGGCACCTTAACTAATTACACCCCCGACATCCACACCACACAGCCAGAAAGAAACAAGAGCAAGAATACAAACACAACCTGCACCACAGATTTTAATTCAACAGTGCAGTTTTCAACTTGGAACGTACAAAAGGGTTGCCAGTCCAACTTCCCTCCCTCATGTTCTACTACTAGCTAGATCCATGTCCCCTTTCTTTTTTTCTTTTTTTCTTTTAACAAGCCATATCGTTGTAGTGGGGATTCGAACACAGAACCTCGGGATAGTGATATCTGCTATGAATTAGTTTTTTTAAATAAATAAAAAGGGAAAAACTAGGGATTAGTTAATTTGTGGTGTTTGGGTGTGGTTGGTTCTCGTATTAGCAGTGGCTTGATTGAAGACTTAAAAATTTGTGAACAATATTGGGCAAATTAAGTGGTGGAAGGGTGGGTGGGTGGACAACCATTGATAGAGGAGGAGAAGCATATCAATCCAAAACCCTAGACAGAGAGAGAGCACAGGTTCATGCCATGCGCGTAAAGCTAGCTATTATTGTATGTGAGAGAGAGAGAAAGAGAGGACCTTGAAGGTGGAGCCCGAGGAGTGGCAGGCAACAGCTCAGCTGGCAATGAGCAGTGAAGCATGACCAGAGAGAGAGAGAGAGAGAGAGAGAGAGTAAATACTATAGCTAGGGTTTAGTAGAGTGTAGGAGAAAAACATCAGTCAGAGTAAGTCTAAATAAAGCACTGGCATGTCATCTGTGTGGGTTTAATATCTCTATCTATCTAGTGATCATTTCATTTTCTGCAAATCTCTCTCTCTCTCTCTCTCTCTCTCTCTCTCATGCAAAAATATGCACGATAAATGACATATCGATCCGACTATCATGGAAATTGAAAGCTGGAGAAGAGGCTGACACCTAATCTCCCCACTTTAATTATTATCACACTCAACCCACGTACACTTTTACAACATATATTGTACCACCCAAGTACAATCGACCTAAGCCTAGCTACATAAAACTTGACCCTATTTTGCATGCGACAATTAAAAGTGACATAAATATTCCCAATAAAACTTTGGAATATTATTCTTAGCAACTTTGACATAGCTAGGGACAAAGACAAGTACAGAAACCACATGTAGAGGTGGGTGGTCCATACATGAAACATAAACCTTGGTTTGGTTTTTTGCTTGGACCAAAAACATTACGAAATTTATTTTGACACAAACATAGGATTGCAAATTTTGCGTGCTTCCCCACATATATACATTTCTTTCATTTCCAAGAAAGGTGTGTGTGTGGGTTGTAGCCAAAGCCTGTCTCGTCAAAAGCAGCGAATCTTTTTCATCCTCTACCCTCTTCCCCTCCTCCTCCCTCTCTACTGTCTTCTTTCTTTGACTCTTCCCTCCTTTCTACTTTAGACTTATCCCACCCTTGCGTGCACTCACGTTTTCCTGCTCTAATTGGATCTTTCTTTTTCTCTTCTTTTCAGCTCACCCATGGGAGATTTGATCGTGTAAAATACATTCTTGGGTAATGTTTTAGTTCATCTTTTGTTCAGAGAGGCTATTAATTCTTTAAACAAGGTTTAAATTCAGTGATTAATATTTCTCGTATGTCTAGCAAGAGAACTCTTTTTTTACGACAATGATTTCGTGTTTAATCATTCATGGCTAATCTTTCATCTAAAGTGTTGGGGAGACGATTAATTTGAATCACATATTCAAACACAAAATTTAAACTCAATGGTTAAAGTTAATTATCTCGTACGTATAGACATCGAGCTATCTAGCAAGAGAACGTTTTATGTAATGCAATAATTATAATGTGTATTGTTCTTATATAGAGTTTCATACATCATAGTTAGGCTTTGTCATTTAAGAAAATTTATACTCGATGGTTAAAGTTTATTATAGCTCGTAAGTATAGTTGTCGAGCTGTTTAACAAGAGAACATTTTATGTAATGCAATAATTATAGTGCGTGTTGTTCTTATATAGAGTTTTCATACATCATATAGTTAGGCTTTGTAATTTAACAAAATTTATATCCCTAGTTTTCATACATCATAGAAGCAAGATGAGGCCAAATAACAAGAGTGTTTCAAAGGCAGAAGACGAAAAGGAAACAAACAAAAGAAAACAAAGCAAAGCAAATTAGAAGTGACCGTTTTTGAGATTGCATGTAATAAGAGACAAGCACACCTCTGGAGTTGACGAGTAGACATGAGTTTGTAGACCAAACCAGCATTGGGCACCATGTGCTTTATCGCATAATGCCACATGCATGCAATCAACTGTCAGAGATCACTCTCATCTCTCCTCATCTCATCTCATCTCAATCAAACACCCCCCCTACCTCTCTATGCGTAAAGCTAATAGCCCCTCTTCATATAGAAAGCCGTTTGGATTCAAATCAAAACTCAAGTGTTTTCTTTTCCTTTCCGTTTTTTTATGGCATCAAGTTCAAGTTTCAAATATATTTCCACATTCCTTTTAGCACATTTTCCAGTGAAGTGAAAACGCACTCATTTTTTTAAAACAAAACAAAACAAATTATAAAAAGACTCGAAGAACAATTGCTCTCCTATAAAAGATTCCGCGTTCGAGTCGGAGATCCCGAGTTCGAGTCCTAATATAATCGGCGTATGTTAGCTAGATATAGAAAGAAAAAGATAAAAAGAGCAACACAGCTCCTTAAATTTTGCTATTTAGTTCTTAACACTGCCTTAAAGTTCGCTATCTATCTATCTATCTATCTATCTGCAAGCATTATTTGTATAAGGAACTGAGAAAAGGCATCCCGATAAAATTTGAAGAAAGTTTAGTCAAAAAGCAGAAGCCAATGGGGGGATTGCAAGAGCTCAAAAGGATTACATGCCAATAAAGGGAAAAGGGAAAAAATTCAAAGCCAAAAGAACCCTTTTTCATTAGATTTTGGAAAGGAAGAAAAGGGGTGCAAAAATAGACACATTTTGTGAAGTGTGCTACAAAAACAACAAACCTCTGAAAGGGACATTAAAAAATAAAATTTTCATAGAGAGAATGAGAATAGACCCATCAAAAAAGCACTTGCTTTCAGAAAGAAGTAGTTTTCTTCTCGGATGCTCATTGCTCGTAGGCAACCAAGGCAAGCCAAATCGAATTTTGTAAAACGTCCCAATATTATGAAAAGGATTAGAATTAAACCCAGAACCCAAAATTTAAATTTTTTTTTTTGTTGGTAATTTTACACCCTTTGACTAGACTAATATTTTGTCCATTTTTGGTATAAAACCCATCAGTTTCTCAGTGCACCTAGCCAAAGATGCCCCCCAAACCATCAAAATTAAGCACACAAACACATACCCTACTCGTATTATGGTAACAAATTTCGCATTGTTACACAAAAATTCTCAACAAAAAAAAAATTCATGTATAATAAATTAAGCAGAGGAACATGAGTTTGAGTAGAGTTATGATTATTCAATTTGATTAAAAAAACGGACCTGAAACACATTGGCCAGAGCAGGAGCTGCAGCAAGCCTTCCCATGGAGCGAGAGGCATCAATGGCAACTTGGGTAGCGAGGGCTTCCACAAAAGGTTCAGGCCAGACCTCGTTTACGGCACGTCGTCTGGATGAAGATGGGCCTTCAAAATCACCACCTCTTTGTACATTGCTAGGGCCAGCTGCATTGCCACTGTGGTTTCCATCTTGGGATGAAGAAGATGATGAAGTTGATGGTGAAGACATGGATAATAATGGGGAAAAAAGAGAAAAGAAAAGTTGGAACGAAGAAGAAGCTGCTATAAAGGAGACCGGCAAGTAAAGGAGGGAGAGGAAAAAAACTTGAGAAAGGATCACAAGGACAAAAAGGTGTGGATAAAGACACAATTGAGTGAGGGACCCAAAAAGGGTCTTTGGGATTCTTGGATATGCAATTTCACACTCTCACCCCCTTCATCACTCTATTTATATAAAATAATTTGTGGGTAATTTAATTCTCACTTGGAGTTTGTGGAATTTTATTGTCCACACTCTTTCTGTAATTATTTTAAGAGTATCGCTTGGCTCCTTAAAACTAAGTTCTCATAACAAATGAGATAATGACACTTGTAAAATTCTAAAAGAAAAGGAAAGTTAAACAAAATTCTATTTCTTGTGATAGAGAAGCTCCTCCTCGGTTTTAAGGAAGCAAGCATTTTCCTTTCACGGTTTGTTTCCTTTGTACGTGTTATTCATATTGATCTAATAAAATTTCTGGTGCACTCATACAAGTGTAATTTCTTCTTTATGTTTGTTGTAAGCATTTTAAAAAGGTCGTCATGCACTAATTGAAGAGAGTGCACTTGTATGTTTTATAATAATATAATAAAATATCAATTTCAAAGTGGAAATTTATAAATTGATGGTGTGAATTTGCTTTTAAAAGTTAGTAAATAATAATGTTTAGAGTGAAAAGCAATAATTGAGAGTGTGACTAGAAGATGCTCAATGTGACATAAATTTGTAGTATAAATTTACATACTAATAAATATTGAGAAGAATAAAAACAAGTTTTGTTTGGGCTCTTTGGTTGGTGGGGGGGGGGGGG